TGAAAATAAACCAAGGTTTTCAAAGTTGGAAACAAATTTTGCCCATGTTCTCTTCCTTCAAGCTTAGGAGAATGTGAGCGTGAGGCTGAGGTTTGTTCATCATAATTTTTGTGCTTATGACCATATAGTATTCTGGCAATCAAGTGCCTTCTAGCTATTTTGAATGACAGTTCCTCTAGTCACAGAATATGGGTCATACTGGCTGGGGCTGATGGAAATTGTGTTCCAAAACATCTTGAGAACCTCAGGCTGCCTACACCTGTGCTAAACCAGGGTTTACTGTAATTTGTGAACTTGGCTGGAGAATAACAATGTGTAGTGAGTGGTTGGGGGGCTTAGTATATGCCCCACCAAAAGAACAAACTATTGACCACTCCACAACCCACTGTGAGGAATTTCCATGACACTTCTCATATAAAGTCACTCGGATCCGCTCTGACTTGGATGCTGTAATTGATAGACCTAGTGAATGTAACTTTGGCCCTGGCTTGTACTGTTTTAATGGATACTTTTCAGTTGGTGCAGCCTGATGATGTGGACAGGATTCTTGGAGAGGTGAATGCCACCATATGTGTGCTGGGCCTTTGCCCTTCCTGGCTCATAAAAGGAGCCAGAGGAGGAATGGCCGATCGGGTACGGGGAGTGGTAAATGCCTTGTTTCAGCAGGGTAGGATCACTGCCTGCTTAAAGGAGGCAGTAATAAGACCGCTACTGAAGAAGCCCTCCCTGGATCCCAGTGTATTGGATAACTACCGACCAGTCTCAAACATGCCATTCCTGGGCAAGATACAGGAACGTGTGGTGGTTTCTCAGCTCCAGGGATTCCTGGAAGAAGCAGATTATCTAGACCAATGTCAATCTGATTTCAGGCCTGGCTATGGGACAGAGACAGCTTTGGTCACGTTGGTGACCTATGTCGGGAACTGAACGGGGAGTGTGTCCCTGTTGGTTCTGCTGGATCTTTCAACGGCTTTCAATACCATCCACCATGGTACCCTTCTGGACCATCTCTCTGGGATGGGACTCAGAAGCACTGCTTTACAGTGGCTCAGTCCTTCCTGGAGGAGAGAACTCAGAAGGTGGGGCTGGGTGACTCCTGCTCAATGCCCTGGCCATTGTCCTGTGGCATTTCTCAGGGTTCTGCTTTGTCATCCATGCTTTCTACATGAAACCACTGGGAGAGGTTGTCTGAAGTTTTGGGGTTCGGTGTCATCAGTATGTGAGCGACACCCAACTCTATCTCTCCTTTCCACCTAATTCCAGGGAACCTGTCTTGATTCTGACCAGTGCTTGGCATCAGTAATGGGCTGGATGAGGGCAAACAAACTGAAACTTATGGTTGTTGAGGGTTTTTTGGGCTCTTTGGCCATGTTCTGCCCTAGTGCAGCCCTAATTGTCATCTGCTGAACCAGTGTATAGCATGCCAATGAAATGGGGTATGAAATTCACAATTCAAATGGCTCTTATTTTTTGTTTCAACAGTGAAAGCAACAATTGATGTTATTTCCTTTTAAATACAGCTGATACAGGTTTGGGAAAATGTAAAGGCAAGAGGAGAAGGGGGTGACAGTGGACAAGATGGTTGGACATTGTCATCGAAGCGACCAGTATGAATTTGACCAAACTCCAGGAGGCAGTGGAAGACAGGAGGGCCTGGCGTGCTCTGATCCATGGGGTCACGAAGAGTCAGACACAACTTAATGACTAAACAACAACAGGTTTTTAATTGGGGAAAAAAAACTTAATGACTAAACAACAACAACAGGTTTTTAATTGGGGAAAAGCATTTTAACTACAATAAGAATAATAAGCACTTCTATTCCAGTTCCCAAGAAACAAATAATTCACTGTATCGAAAACAAATTACTAAAGATTGGAGACCCCTAGAGACCATTACCAAGGATTACGCACAACGTTGGCAAGCATCAAGCTAGAGGCAAAGTCCATTACATGTCAAGCCGATCTGTAATCCCAGTTAATGCCATCTCCAGAGTGTTTGCAGTTACACACCATTGATGTGGCAAACCTTATTTCTGCTTTAGTTCAGAAGTCTCTCAGTACCATTTGAACTCATGCAAAATGAAACAGACAACAAAACCAAACATAAACTTTACTAGAAGGCTTATCTTCGATAAAGTTTTATATTTGTTTATTTGGTGAAGTGTAAAAGTGGATTAGAAACAGAAATAGCTAGACATCTAATGCCTTTTTTTCAAAATTTAGAATCATGTTTTTGCTATGCATATTCCGAATAGTTAATAAACCCAAATTATATATGTATTTCAGACTTTTTCAGAAGTACCCAGAGTACATAAGTATACTATTGAATTCTCCTTAATGATTCAACACAATATGTTTAAGCTGAGGAGTTGGTTTGCCTTTTTAACGCAAACATGTAGGCAACATTCCCCATTTTCTATTGGGAACAGGAAAACGTCTGAAAGTGTTTTTTTATGCAAATGTGGAACCTTATTTTCAGCTCAAATGCATTTTCATGCACTTGTTTATTCATTTTATTTATGACCAACATTTCTCCCAATATAGGAACGCAAGGCAATGTACATTTTAAAAAGACAAATACAGTTGAAGTGCAATATTAAAAAGCAATTAAACATATCACATTTTAAAACAACAATCAAAACAATTTATATGACATTAAAAACTCTCACATACTTGAAATTAAAATCCCTTCTATGGCAGCCAATTAGTTGCTAAAAGTCTGCCTGAACAGAAAAGTCTTTGCCTGTAGATAGCAGGACAGCACAAAGGGGGCCAGCCTGGCATCCCTTAGGAGGGTGTTCCACACCCTGTGAGTAGCCACTTTCTCTTGTGCCCTCACTAGCTATGCCAGTGAGAACGGCAAGACCATGAGAAAGGTCTCTACAGATCTTAAAGCCTAGGAGGGCCCATATAGGGTCTTTTGCTTCATTTGTTGAGATAGTCTGGAACTAAATCGTTTAGGATTTAAAAGGATCACAGTCTATGATTTGAATTGTGCCCAGAAATGGACTAGTGCCAAGTGAGGTTTCTGTACAAAGGGATTTCAGTACTCAATCAGTAGTTTAACTGAAGCAATCTGGACCTGCTGAAGTTTCTTAAAACTCTCCAAAAGCATCCCCATATAGAGCACATGACAGTAATCTGTATGGAATGAAACTAAGGCATACATCACTGTAAGCAGACCAGACACTTCTAGGAAGAGGCATGGCTGGCATGCTACTCATAACTGTGTCAATGCACTCCTGGCCACCACTGTGACCTGGGCATCCAGTCTCAAAAATGAATCTAGGAGCACACAAAGGCTGTGAACCTTGGTTTTCAGGAGGACTGTAACCTCACCCGGTACAAGTTGAATACACATTGCCTGACCTGGCTTTCAACTGACCAGGAGTACCTCTGTCTTGTCTAAAACCTCCATTTGTTTACTTACTGATGCCAGACACTAGTTTAGAACTAAAAAGCTTCCTGCAATAGAAAGGAGAAATAGTTATTTGCATAATGGTAGCCCCACACTCCAGCACTCTAAACAATTTCTCCTAGCAGTTTTATGTATGTGTGAAAAAACAGGGAGAACATAAGAGAACCTGATGGGATGCCACAGGCCAGTAGCCAGCATATTGAACAAGAATCCCCCAACATCACCCCATTTCACTTCTTTAGGAAGGTCCAAAATCATTGTAAATATGGTGCTTCCAAGACCTATTCTAGAGCAGTGGCCAAGAAAAATAACAGATCGGTGTTGCCGAAAATGCCAGCAGAACCAACCAGGACATACATCCTGCCCAGTTCCTAGAGTAGGTTATCCACTAAGGTTACCAAAGTTGCCTATCATGGCAACGGAAAATGCCCCAACAGCCACCAGGAAATAATTTAGATCCCTTAGGTTCCACTTTCCCAGCAGAGGCTGTGAGTTCTAGTGAGTTTAAACCACACAAGGTAATGATGTCCATAACAACAGAACTACAGAGAGCTCTTCGATACCCAGATCACAGTACTCCTGCCCAGCACAGAATACTAGATTTTATTTGGTGTAAATAATATTAAGTAATCTTCCAAATTAACTTTCTTTAACTCTGACAATATCAGATTATTTGAGCAAAAGAGAAAGAACTATCCAAATGCTCATTGGCCATTTGATGGGGGTGGGGTGGGGAAATGAAACTATGTCTACATCTTTGGTTATACTTGTGCATCCTTGCAGCCTTAGACAGATCTATGGAAGGATAAATTATGATGTGCATTCAGAGTATAATCATTTGCTCAGTTGTCAACAGGTCCTAAAGGATCTGTGACTCTGATTTTGGTGAGAACATCTGGATACGTGGTGCAGTAGTGTCCTATCGTGGAACATCCACTAGCTCTGGGTTTCACATGATAAAACAAGACATTTGTGCAATCTTCTTTCCATTGGTCTGGACCCTGCATGAAGAGTGGAGGAAAATGTGCAAGAGACGCAGTGAACTAGATTGCCGTGATAGCTAGGCCATGTTTTAATTTGATTTGTACAGAACCTGTCAAATACATGCGTCTCTACCGGAAAAGTGACCTTTTAATTTTCATGTACATGGCACCTATTAGGACTAATTGAGGGATGGCATTATACCATACAGATCTAGTGGGTGGGGGAAGGCATATGTGTTTCTGATTCTGCATAAATTCAGAGATTCTTTTGTAAAAAGGAAACATAGTCTGTAAGTGCTATTAGTTCGTGTATTTATAGCTAGTAATTGGGATGCATCCTTCTGACCTGTTCTTAAAGCTTCCATATTTCTGAAAACATTGTCAAGATTGCATCAGGATCTGTATGAAGTTTAAGGGCTAATTTGAGATGAGCGTACCTTATCATTCTGTTTTTTGATGTTATACTGAACAAAAAGCCCCTTTGCTTGTGACATAATCAGTATGAAGGCAATACTTTAATTTTCATCAGTTTTCCAGTATATTCTACCAAATGTTCATGTTGATAACGACTCAGTATTGTTGTTGTTCTCTACATACAGCTGAAAATAGAAAAATCTTGAATGAACAAGAAGTTGAAAAATGTCTTGTCACGCTTTTGGGAACAGATAATGATGGAACGAAAGTCGCTGCTTCTCAAGCAGTTTCTGCTATGTGTGAGAATTTGGCTAGCAAACAAACCATTGGAACTCTAGGTAAATCATTCATACTGGAGATGGAATTATGATGCAGAAGAACGTGTTTACTGATCTGAAATTTTGCCATTGCTAATTTGAAACAGCATATACACTATTTTTTTCTCTCTCTCTCCAAAGGAATTCCCCAGCTAGTTCAGTTGCTAAGCAGCGACAATGAAGAGGTGAAAGAAGCTGCTGCTACAGCTCTGGTTAATCTGACGACAGCTCATCTTGGCAATGCAAGGTAAGCTTGTGATAAATAAAGTGTGTGATAAATAAGAGATGATTGGACACTTTAATCAAGACATATATTTTACTTTCATGTACTTCTGACATCTTGTACATTGCTGTGTTGCTCCCATTTTGCATTACATGCTCATATCTGTGCTATTCAATGAATCATCCCTTATTAAAGGTCTTTACTATAAATATTTAGCTCCAGTGTAGTTAAACTAGCTAGATTTACTGTATCTTGGTGATCTGGAGGCACATGCATTTTTACTAACATGAAGCCTTGTATATTTGGAAAATTTTGGGAAGTTGTGCTAAAAATGAATAAAATAAATAGTGGCTTTTCTACCTTACTTCCCTGAAGACCAGGAAAGTGTAGCTATCCTTTTCCAAAAGGAAGTCTGTTGTCTTTCATGACAACAAGTAAGTACAGGAAGACATGTGACTGATTATATCAAGAAAGTTAATTGTGGTGTGGTGGCATTGATGGCACTTTTCCAAGGAGTACCTCTGATGGACATCTGTCATGTTGGTACATGGTCTTGCCATCTACTTTCAACTCACATTATGCCCATGTGAAGGTGAATGTGTCATTTGTTAGAACAGTTCTGTCTTTAGTTTTGGTGTAACATTTCCCCACTTCAGTATATGAGCGTGTCAGTTACCCTTATACATAAGTCATAGAAATCCTGAAAAAGAACAGGTTGCTTACCTGTAAATGTGGTTCTTTGAGAGGAAACTCACCCAATCCATCCTCCTCCCCTCTTGATAATTCCCTGTCTTAACTGTTTGGGTGGTAGTTTCAGAACTGAGAGATCCTTGCTGAGGCACTCTGGAACTTGCACAGTAGAGATGTGGTGGGGGCAGGGTCTATAAAAGGATACTCAACTCTATAATGTTCCAGATGTGGCTCTACACAGGTGCAAGACCTTTATGTAGGAGTTCAGGGTAACCATTTGAAGAGACACTGTTACACATAATAGACCTGTTCTTCCTTTTATCTGTCCCAGATCGCCTCCTTTTAGCTTCAATGAATGACCCTTCTTGTGCTCAGTGAAACACTTTTTGTGTTGTAGAAGGAGAAAAACTTTTCCCTACCTAGTTTCTTTATACTGTGCACTGTGCATAGTTGTGCACACTTCCTTTGTGTCTCTCCTTGCTCTCCAGGATGAATAGTGCCAAATACTGTAACCTTTCCTCATATGAGAACTGCAACTCATCCGCATCTGCATTCTAGAGGTGTACATGACCAGAGCCAAAAGTGTGTGGAGTTATGTAATAAAACAACAACAACATTTACCTCTGGTCTATGTAGGGTTCCCTTCATATGTGCAATGTAATGTAACATTTCTCATGAGAAGGAAGCTGTTGCTGTATATTGTCTTCCTCTGCTGTCGAGGAATCTTGGGGGCAGTTACACAGGTTTATTGAAGCTACTGAAAATGTCTATCACTATGATGTTTATCAATGTCCTATGTCACGCAGTTAATGTATTCTGTAAAACAAAAGTTTGGCAATTGAGTTCAATACAACTGCTATATGAGTCTCATTTCTTCCCTTCCTGATTCCACTGTGAACACTGGCAAGCATTTCCACAACCCTGTAGAAGAGAAAAGGAGACAAACGGTGTAGGTTGTCTTGCCTGAATGTACTCCAGAACCAGAATTTTTGACTAGCACTTGACTCCAGAACCAGAATTTTTGACTAGCACTTGGAGAATGTTATCTGGGGAGCCAATATCAATTCTTGCATATGACCATCACAACTTCTTTACAGTATTGATGCATTCATTGTACTGTGTTGGTAAAACCTGATGAGATTAAGTAGGGAAGGTCACAAAATCAATTGTTAGGATGCTTACTCACATACAGTATGTGCATACATAGACACTTTTCTCCCTCATTTATTTCCATCAAAAATCAATTGTTAGGATGCTTACTCACATATGTGCATACATAGGCACTTTTCTCCCTCATTTATTTCCATCAGTGTCAGCTTATAAGGGCCTCAGTCAGAATATAAAAAAACATGGCAATTCAATTTTTGAAGAAATTCAACCAAAGAAATATGAAAAAAAGGTTCTTGGAGTACGTGATGTGATGCTGTTCTAAAAGCCAAATTGGGTAACAAATCCAGTTTGTATATGCTGATTTCTAGTCCTTCCTCCACCATACAAATTAACAGAAATTAATATGATTATGGTTGTTGTGGGTTTTCGGGCTCTTTGGCCATGTTCTGAAGATCATTCTTCTTAACGTTTCGCCAGTCTCTGTGGCCGGCATCTTCAGAGGACTGTCCTCTGAACATGCCGGCGACAGAGACTGGCGAAACGTTAGGAAGAACGACCTTCAGAATACTCCAAAGAGCCTGACAAACCCACAACAACCATTAGTTCCTGGCCGTGAAAGCCTTCGCAGATATATTAATATGATTATCTTAATTCACTCAGCTAACTGAACTCATAGTTATAGAGCTAGTGGCATTAAGACATCTTTTTCATTGAGAGTAGTTATACTGCCAGAATTTTCAGATTGTTACATTTTATTTATTTATTTAAAATATTTATATGCCTCCTATCTCTTAAAGGATCCAAGGTGGCTTTATTATCTCCACTGTCCTAAAGGATCCAAGGTGGCTTTATTATTGCTGCACTGCACTTTCAAATCTTTAGCTGAAATACTGCTTCTTCCTGTGGTTTCTTGAGTGGTCACCTGTGAACTCACATAACTTAACTCTGTTCTCCTCTTGGTGTCTTGTTCTGATTTACATCTTGGGCAGTGGACTGGAACTGAGAGGCTCAAGCCAAGGCATGCTGAATCATGCATGCTTAGAGGACTGAGGGCAGAGTTTCCTGCCTGAACTGCTCAGCTCTAGAATGTTCCAAATTGCCCATTGTGCAGGCGCAGAAACCTGTTTCTGGGAGTTCACAGATGACCACCCAAAGAATCACAGTTACCACAGGCAACCAGTGGTTGTTATATTTTATTATTGTTGTACAACATCGTCAAATCTTTAGACGAAATACTGCTATGCTGTGAATTGCTTTCTTCTCCCATACCACCTCTGTTTAAACAATACGACACCAGTCACAGGGAAATGTTGTAAAAGGATGTTGTGTCCGAAAGAGTGGCTGATGGCAGATCTCTTGACGCTTATAGTGGTGGGATAATGATATTTAAAAATGGAACTGGACAAATTAATAGGTCACATCTTCCATTCATTGCCCAGTTAGTCTCCTGGCCCCTGAAGATGTTAAAAATCTCTTCCCATCATATTCTAAAAAGTAGTTTTTTCTGCTTCACATCACAATAACCCTTTTCTGATGAAAAGGCTTGGCTCACTTCCAGTTCATGATGCTGAAAAAAAATCCACTGTGGAACAGTTTACCTAAATTAGATTTTATCTACATAACCTTCAGAATAATAATTGAGTTTAAACTCCAGCTTTATAATGGTTCAAATTTTGTTCTTAAAATGATATTGAGGATATTTTATTCCCGACTAGGCACAGGGAGAATAGAAAGATTTTATCATAAACATATTAGATCTTTTATTCAGTAAAATAATATACTCATAGCCATGGAGCCATGAAGTGCTACTGGATAAATCTTTTTCAATATGAGCAGTATAATTGCTAATTTAATTAAGGATAACAGATTCGTTTTTTATTATAAGTCATTTTGGTGGGTCACCAACTTACTTGACCCCAATATGTAGTCTCATTAGAAATATACACCAGTTCAAAACATTCATATACAGAAGGCATGAAATACATACCATGCCCTTTCAGTTTGTAACATGTTTCTTATGCAGTTTAAGCAGCAGTTGTGGCAATGGTTACATATTTCTTTGTGGCAATTTTGAATGGGGAGCTAAGGTGATCATTCAGGCATGTGCAGAAGCACATATCTTAAAATGGCTGAATTATCAGTTCAAGTTAAAAAATATCCGATATTTTACTTGGCTTCTGATCTATCATAAGCAAAATATAGCATCAAGAAAAGGCAGTGCTGCTGTCTCAGTCCGTGTTATCAGTGACGTCTCTCTCCACGTGGCCTCTTCAAAGGGAGTCAAATTTGAACTAAAATATAGTAAGTTATGTCCAAATTTAAATGTGTGCCCACTGGGAAAGATGCAAGCTTGTCCTGCAGTGATCTTTTCTCGGAATTAATTAATATGATCTATGTCATGTTTTATTTTCATTTTTATGTATATCTCATTTAATATTTTAAGCTTAATGTGTGCCCACTGGGAAAGATGCAAGCTCGTCCTGCAGTGATCTTTTCTCTGAATTAATTAATATGATGTATGTTATGTTTTAGGGATGTGGTGGCGCTGCGGGCTAAACCGCAGAAGCCTGTGCTGCAAGGTCAGAAGACCAAGCAGTTGTAAGATTGAATCCACACAACGGAGTGGATTGTCCCAGCTCCCGCCAACCTAGCAGTTCGAAAGCATGCAAATGCAAGTAGATAAATAGGGACCACCTCGGTGGGAAGGTAACAGTGTTCCGTGTCTAAGTCGCACTGGCCATGTGACCACGGAAGATTGTCTTCAGACAAAATGCTGGCTCTGTGGCTTGGAAACGGGGATGAGCACTGCCCCCTAGAGTCGAACACGACTAGACAAAAATAGTCAAGGGGAACTTTTACCTTTACCTTATGTCATGTTTTATTTTCATTTTTATGGATATCTCGTTTGATATTTTAAGCATCTGTTAGACAGCACAGGTTTTGTTTTGAGTTGGACTGTTTTTAGGTAGAGATGTGTGTTCTGTCAAGTCTGCAACAAACATGCACAGACTCAGCAGCCTAGCATCCGGTATTCCTTTGGCTGTAGCAACATGTCTTGCTTTGCCACACATTAGCTTAAACATATGTAGGCAAAAGAAAGCATCACTTGAAATTCCCAGCACAAGAACTTTAAGGAAAGTGGGCCAGATTTTCTGCCTTCAATATGAAGAGCAGATTCCTGGAAGAACTGTAGTAGGGGAACTTTTACCTTTACCTTATGTCAT